GCAGCAGCAGCAACAGCAGCAGCAGCAACAGCAGCAGCAGCAACAGCAGCAGCAGCAACAGCAGCAGCAAGCGAACGATGCCGTGTCTTGGGTGGATATACACCGGGGCTGGGGGTCGCTAACAACTCTTTTTAATCCTCAGAAAGACAAAACACCAGCAGCAGAAACAGCAGCAGCAGCAGCAACAGAAGCAGCAGCAGCAGCAACAGCAGCAGCAGCAGCAGCAGCAACAGCAGCATGCGGCCAGGAGTTTTCAGGAGATCCTTCTTCTCTGTTGACGCGTCTTTGGTCTGCTGCTGCAGCGCCAGCCTTTTTGCTGCTGCTGGTGGCGATGCAGTCGGGGCGTGTCTTCGCCTGTCGTCTCCGCAGCAGCTGCTGCAGCAGCAAGTGCTGCAGCAGCAGCAGCAGCAGCAGCAGCAACAGTAGCTGCTGCTGCTGCTGTTGCTCCGGCGACGCTCTCCCCTTTGTCGCTGATGAGTTTAGGCGGATCGATGATTTGGCCTTTGCAGCCTCAGACTTCTTCTCGCTCGTCTCCTGGGCTTCCTTGCAGCAGCAACAGCAGCAGCAGCAGCAGCAGGAGCAGCAGGAGCAGCAGCAGGACCGGATGGGTGGTGCTGCTGCTCCTGCGGCTGCTGCTGATGGGAGGGTCTTTGAACTGACCGCAGGTAGCACTGCAGCAGCAACAGCAGATGCAGGAGCAGCAGGAACAGCAGAAAAGACAGCAGCAGCAACAGCAGCAACAGCAGCAGCAGCAGCAACAGCAGCAGCAGCAACCGCAACAGCTCCTGATGAGCCTGAAGGTCTCCTCGAGCGCATCCAGCGCAACAGCCCAGCTTTGCAAGATGCCTGCTGCAGCTTCTGGAGCAGCAGCAGCAGCAGCAGGAGCAGCAGCAGCCGCAGCAGCAGCAGCAGCAGCAACAGCAGCAGCAGCAGCAGCAGCAAGGGTTTCTTATCTAGACTTGCACAGAGGTTTCTGGTTGCTTCGCTGGGGCTGACAGCAGAAGGCCTCTCCAAGCTGCGGCAGGCGAGGGGCCTCCGTCTCATACAGCAGCACAGCAGCAAGACGCGGGCTCTCAACTCACCAGCAGCAGCAGCAGCAGCAGCAGCAGCAACAGCAGCAGGGAGGAGCACAGGTGAAGAGCAGCAGCAGCAGCAGCAGCAGCAGCAATGGCAAATGCCCCCGCTGCAAGTTGGAGACACGAAGGCGGTTCGGCTGTCTCTGCAGCATCTGCAGCACCAGGCAAGCACTGCAGCATGAGGCCTTAAACCCTAAACCCTAAACCCTAAACCCTAGCTCTAAACCCTAAACCCTAAACCCTAAAGACCCTGCAGCATGGGGGCTCTGTTCGTTAGCACCCCTCTGCAGTGTATGTACACCTCCTCGGTGCATGCAAACATTTTGTATATATTGCTTGAGGGATGCATGCACTCGCAGCTGCTGCTGGTCTCGTCATTGCTGCTGCTGCTGCTGCTGCTGCTGCTGCTGCTGCTGCTGCGGGTCCTCCTTCAGGTGTTGTGCGCGCTGCACTTGGGGTGTCGCCGCAGCTTGTGTTGCTGGCTGCAGCAGCTGCTGCTGCGGCTGACGGAGCTGCAGCAGGTGGAGCAGCTTGCTGCTGTTGGTTTAATGTTTGTAAGAACTGAGCTTCATCTGCTGTCGCCGTGGCTCGTGCTGCTGCAGCAGCACGAGCAGCAGCTGCAGCAGCAGGCCGCCTCTTTGCTGCTGCCAGGCTTCGAGGATCTCAGCGCTCGTCTTGTCGTCGCGGGCGAGCAAGCAGCAGCAGCAGCTGTTGCTGCTGCTTCTGCTTCTGCTGCTGCTGCTGCTGCTGCTGCGCCTGATGCTGCTGTTTTCGCTGGCCTTGATTGGCGTGTATGGACAGCAGCAGGAGCTGACGCAGCAGCAGCAGCTGCTGCTGCTGCTGACGCTCTACAAAATGTTGCTGCAGCAATCACTGCCGACGGTGAAGACAACGATGAGGCTCAGTCTCTGGTGCAAGTAAGCAGCAGCAGCAGCAGCAGCAGCAGCAGCAGCAGCAGCAGCAGCAGCAGCAGACAAGAGCAAACAGCAGCAGCAGCAGCAGATA